TTTCACGGACTTTACTTCTTTTATGAAACTGAAATGGTCTGGGTTTGATCAGAATACAAGTGGCTTGATTCTATATGTTATACGCACTTGTCTTTATGACCACGCAACTAACCCGAGCTACTTCCAAATCACCTTAAAGATGATTCTGACATCTACATTATTTCACACGGTCTTCCAAAGCACTATCACCTTTAGCTGTTATCCTATCACTACAAAGAGATCATGGCTAATCATAGTCTAACTATTTCCCCATCAGCAGTCAGATTGAGCAGTCATTCTATGGAAAGCGGCATAATATGACGTAAAATCTTCTTGAGCGTATGTAATAGTCCTCTTGAAACATCTATATAACCAGAAAGTAGATAGGAATCAAAGTCAACTTCTTTTACCAGGTCTGTTCCAGTTTCAATTTGATGACGAAATACTTCTCCTGCCATGACGACTTTTGTGTCGTCAAATAGCACACTATGGACGTCTTCCCATCTGAAAAGTTGGGATCTGATTATCCAACAGAACACACTAGCTTAGCGCTCAACATGCACTTTTGAGCACTTATCAGTACTTACTCCTTAAAGCTGTATACACAGCGACTTACCTTGAAAGAGCTTCTCCTGTGGAGGCATTAACTCGTGCTAGGTTTATACGACTAGCCGGCGTCAAATATTCAGAGACAAGACGAAGTGCATCTAGCGACATTCAGCAGTCAAAGTTGATGACTTCGCTCGAAGAAGAAATGGAGTTGTAACTTGCGAATGATTTGGAAAATAAACCTTACTTCTTTGGGTTACTCCATTTATAGTTGTTGTAGATGTGATAGTAAGAGGTGATTGCTTTTTTCAAAGACTCATCTGACTAGGAGGGGTGTGCAGCCGCAAGACTTTCATGTAGTTTACTAAAATAATTACATTTTCTTGAATCGTCTGTCGATTGCAACTTTTGCACTGAGTGTGCTCACGATACGCTCTTCAATTTTGGGATATCCTTTCATCTTTAATTTGAAAGTCTTGGAACTTTTTCAGTTACTGGATCTCTATTAAAAGGAGCATCTTCTCGTTCATCTATGAAAAAGGCCAAGTCTCAGATCCGTGATTTTTCTCTTATAGAACATGTGTTGTTACAAGTTTTCATCTTCTCATATGGAGATATTCTTTGTTTAAAAGAAAGGCACCTTACATAATTTGATTGATCGTTAGGTATTTTTGTTTGCTTTTATTGATGTGTGCATGCACATTTACTTTGTTGTATATGTCCGATAAAATAAATAAATAAATCTGAAGTCCACGTCTACTTTGCTAAGAATAGAACTTAAGACTTCGAAATCAAATCTTGCGGTGAGCTAGGGGCAGACCTCGGCGGCAGATCTCCGGAGGGCAAGCTGGAATTTGTTTCTGTGGAAAAAAGCAAAGGGGAAATCGTATGGGGTCCGGAGGGGAGCCTGCAGTTCACCTTCAATTATGACCGCTTTTTCCGCAAAAATTTTGAAGCTTCCCCCCGCCCTTCTTTCTAGCGCGGATGTTTATGCAGCGGCCTGAGTATTTCCATCTTAATCAATACTTAATTCAAAGAAATTCCACAAACACTCTTGGACCGTTCCGTTTAAAACCTGCTCCAGCAAAGGTTCAATGTCGTTTCAATGCGGGCGTTTGCGCGTGAAATTTAAAAGAGTTTCAAAAAATTTAGATAAACCCGTTTTTCTAAGCGAATAGGCTTTGAACAGCCATCAAAGTCGGCACAAGGATGCGAACAAAGAGTAGAAGAAGAAATATCTTTGAAATATTATGAGAATGAAAAAATCGCCATACCTTTTTGTGATTTAGGTCTCAGGAGGAGACTTACGGAAGACCTCAGGTCTCCGATTAGCAAACACTTTTTTGTTTCTCATAATTTTGCTTTCCTTATAGCAAACACTTTTTGTGCACCCCTTGATTCAACTTACAGCGTAATAATTAGATCACAGCATTTTCTCCCTCCTTGCTAGGGCCCTAAATGGTTTTTCCTTAATAAAGAAAACGCGCTCCAAGTATACGGCATTCCAGTGCTTTCCTGATTGCACGTGTCTGTACAGGTTATAAGGGACTTCGTGATTTCCCGGATTTTTAGGCGGGTGTTCGTTCTTGTAAGTTCAATCGGAGACCTCGTGCCGAGGCCTGGCTAGGAGATCACTATTCACTAATTCCAACAATTTGTTATAGCTCT